GCCTGAGGGGCGCGCTACAGACACTGGCTGGCGTCCTTCCCGCCGCTAATTCCCCAGTGGCAGAGGCGTGACCCAGGCCGGCCAGTGACGTCGTAGCTCCCCACCGCCCCCTAGCGGGTAGGTGGACCGACACCGATCACAATATAACTAACAATTTTCTTCTGATCTGTAAACCCATATTAAATTTGTGTATAATCTCTTGTCTAATTTCACAGGAATGTCTGCAAATATTATTACATTGTCTGTTGAAATGTGTGAACTTCCACTGCAGTACTCTTCAATAAACCACAGCAAATATGCTTTTGCCTCCTGAAACACTAAGGGAGGGCCACATTGCCACCACAAAAATACTGCTTCTATAAGGAGTGCTTTCCGCTAGCACGGACAACACATAGCCGTCTGACACCATTTGTCAAAAACACCCCTTTCTCCTAATGCAGACAAGAGAATTGGGGGTGGGTAACATCCAATTTGTCAGCTAGTTCTGGGAAAGGGCTTGGTCTTCCCATCTTAGGCCATGTCTACACTTACAAGCTTACAGCAACACAGCTGTATCAATACAGCTGTGCTGTTGTCAGTGCGCTCATGTAGCTGCGTCATGGAGACAGGAGAGAGCTCTCCTGTTGACACAATAAAACCAGCTCGACGAGTGGCGATAGCTATGTTGGTGAGAGAGCGTCTCCTGCCAACATAGCGCTGTGTATAGGAGCGCTTATGCTGGCAACATTTATGTCGCTGAGGAGTGTGGTTTTTTCACACCCCTGAGCGACAAAAGTTTTGCTGACATAAATGCTAGTGCAGACATGGCCTTACAGAGAGGCCAGGGGACATTGGGAAATATGGCTCGGCCTCAGCAGTTCCCTAAGTAAAACTTTCAAAAGAATGGGAGAGCCAGAGGAAATATTAAGAGATAAATGGAAAAATGGGTGTCTGAAGAACAATATTTTATTATAGTCTCATATGGCAATGAAAGATCTGGGGGAGGCAGTTTAGGAGACCATTTGGTTTTGGAATAAATCTCAAAGTCCAAGCTGGTACCAGACATACTAAAACCAAATTCCAGTTGGAGGGTTTTGTGTCCTTTAGTGAAGTCTCTAAGGCACCAATCCTACAAACATGTACACATTTATGTCTAAGAGTACTTCATGGAAGTGTATAACTCCGTTGAGTTCAATGGGACTACTCGGTGTAAGAGTTTGCAAGATAGGGGACTAAGATAATAAGTGAAACCTTTATTTTTAAATGATGGATTCTGGCTATGAAGTTTCATTTATGCTTCAGCCAGTGAGATCAAGCTCTTTCTAAACAACCAGAAATGGGCCTGAGATGCAAAATTTTCTATCTGGATTTTCGGCCCTATAAAGTTTAGGGGAGTTTGAATCTGTGACTTTGGTTTGGTCCCATCCCTTGAAACCGTTAACTGTAGTGTAATCCCTAATGCATTCTGGAAGACTTCTGTATGATGCTTAGTTATGGGAGCAGCCTACTTACATTCTATTTCAAATTCACTTACATTAGGCAGAGACTGGAAAAAGTGTCCTAGTTTCATCACTACCACTAGCATTATGGATGCTCCAATTAGTGCTGCAAACTGAACACAAATATTGTGTTAGAGATGCATTCTGGAGCTTACCACGTGTTGCTCCTCTGCTAAGCTCCTCAGATATCAAAGCTTGTACAGCCACCAGCAGCGCATCTTATTGAGGTAAGAAACTAATGAAGGATTTCATGGGACAATGGGAAATAGTACTTCAAAAGTACTATTGCTTTGTCAAACCCTCCACCTCCGAAGCATCAGCTTTCACTGGGCTGCTCATCCCATTGGCCTAATCCCGTTCAGAGAATTCTGAAAGAGCCTGGTGACATTGTATACCACTCAGATACACTCTTCTTTTCAGCTGAAGGACCATTTGCCCACAAACAATATAAGCAGGGGGATTTGAGACCTCCTTCAAGTAAGGAAAGGGGCAAAGGAAATTGTGTGCCTCTGATTGCAAGACCACCACTATTACGCCCTAGTACAGGAGCAGCAGCAAAAGTAGATGACCTATCGTGTTCTGCTATAGATATTGCAAAACTAGTAGTATGTGATCATGTAATTAAAGACTACATGTTAATGCAGAAGCATACGGGGACGGAATTAACGTTGCACAGGCATAATTGTGAAAAGTGGTGTTTACGGAAGTCTGTAAATTGCTTGGATGAAAACAGGCCCTAGTGCAGAGGTGGGCAAACTACGGCCCGCAGGCCACATCTGGCCCACGGGACTGTCCTGCCCGGCCCCTGAGCTCCCGGCCGGGGAGGCTCGCCCCCGGCCTCTCCCCTGCTGTCTCCCTTCCCCCGCAGCCTCACCTCGCCGCGCCGCCAGCGCTCTGGCCCGCCGCTCCTGTCGGGCAGCAGGGCTGCGAGCTCCTGCTGCTCTGAGCTGCATGGTAAGGGGGCGGGGAGCAGGGGGGTTGGATAAGGGGCAGGAAGTCCCAGGGGGCAGTTGGATGGGGCGGAGGTTCTGGGGGCGGTCGGTCAGGGGACGGGTGTTGGATAGGCGTGGGAGACCCGGGGGGCCTGTCAGGGGGCGGGGGTGTGGATAGGGGTTGGGGTAGTCAGGGGACTGGGAGCGGTGGGTTGGATAGGGGGTAGGGTGCCAGGGGGGCGGTTAGGGGCGGGGGGAGATGTCCCAGGAACAGGTGGTCAGGGGACAAGAAGCAGGGGGGGTTGGATGAGTCGGGGGTTCTGCGGGGGGCAGTCAGGGGGCAGGAAGTGGGAGGGGGTAGATAGGGGGCAGGGGCCAGGCTGTTTGGGGAGGCACAGCCTTCCCTACCCAGCCCTCCATACAGTTTTGCAACCCCGATGTGGCCCTCGGGCCAAAAAGTTTGCCCACCCTGCCCTAGTGGAATTATATTGATCCTAGATGAGGGTCTGGAAGCTTGACCTCCTGATCAGGTGTTGCAGCTCATACAACCAACCCAACTCACCTGTGTTTTTCCGCCTGTCTTCTCCTGAATGACAGTCCCAGAAATAGCACAGCTGACAGCAAAGCTTTTGAAAAATGAGCTGAAGATATTGCATAGCCCCACAGTCATGAGCTCCTATAAAGCATAGCCAAAACAAAAACACACAACCCCAACACTTACTTATCATAGTAACTGTGGTTTTTTTCCAAGAGTGATATTACTGTCTGCTCTCACTTATGGGATGCCCGCCTGTGCTGCTAAGCTTTGGGAACCTTCTGAAAAGCAGTGCTTGCTACGGCGCTCCCTTTCATTGTACCACATGTTCATCCCTGAAGCACTGACCTCAACAACTTCAGTTCCTTCTTCTAGAAGAGTCCTTTGAGAGTGAACTCTAGCACCCTGCATGAATGACACCCAATTAACATGCACAGCACAATGTACCTATGCAAATGCGGGGTGCAAGTATTCCCCGAAGGCTACAAGAAGTCATGCTGACTTCCTACCTGCCTTAGTTCCATCCTCATAAAATCTCAATGCCTTCGTAAGAAGCTAAATATGAAATGGCGCAAGCTTGCTAGTTACTAACTATAGTACACTAGAAATAATGGAGTTGGGGGCCAAAGACTTCCCATATCATCACTCCAGACAGAGAAGATCCTTACACCAACAGGTGGCTACAGAAAGGAAGGAAATAAGGCTATTCAGCCCTTTTATAACCTTGGCTATTAATGTTTGGGTGCTGTAGAATAGGCACCGCTCTCTGAACAGATTCCAAAATTCATTGACATAAGCAGCGGGTGCATCCCACAATTAGGAACACACAGAGGTCAGGTTGTAGAAGAAGCAGCTGTTTTAGCCCAGCCTCTCCAACCCCTCTACCATATCCCAATGTATCTTTCTTCAGCGGCAAACAAACATCCATATACATGTGATTGGTTTCAGGCAGAGTGCTGGAGGTCACCCGTTGTTTTAGCCTTTCTCAACTCCTACGCTGCTTCAGCTAATTATGATTCCAGTGCTCTTCCTCCCATTGGGAAAGTAGCTGAGTTGCTGTAAAGCCACTGGGCTGCATTTCTGCTCTGCCTCTGGGACTCCCACCACACTCCGAGCCAGTTAATGGCTTTGGTAAGTGACAAGTAAGTCCAGTTCGGCTGGTCTGGGAAGCACGTGAGGTTTTGCTCTCACCTGGTTGCTGGAGATGTTGTAGTTGTGAATACAAGCGTACCTCTTTCCCACAAAAATGAGAAGGAAGTAGCTTACAATAGCCAGGGAGAAGGCATGGGCTACAATCCTGCTCAAATTTGATAAGTCTGGCAGCGTAGGAGGCAGAAACCTGGAATAGCAGAGAATAAATTGTCTTAATCTTGTTCTGTGCCTTACATACAGTCCCCTGTTCAGGACCTCAGCTGATGGCATTCAGTACTCTTCAGGAGATGCTCTGAATCTTGTTGGGGTGGTCACTGCTATCTCATGAGAATCCCTTAATGTATTTGCACAGTAAATGTAAGTCAGTAATTTGTGGAGAATACTGTTTAAAAGAGCAGCAGATGGAGGGTGGATCAAAGAGCATGCAGGTAGCCTCTTTCCAACCAGCATATCCACAGGAGCTGGGCAGGACGCCAAGCATTACCTTAAGCACTAGGCAGAAACCTGGCTAACACACAGAGGAGCATTTCATGGCCCTATGGGAGGTGGGAGAGAGCTACTGGTTGGGGTGTGTCTAGGCTCCCCTATCTACATGTTGCCCTTGGCAGCACACAATGAAGGGGGCACAGACTGCACCTATTTTCAGCAGCAATAGGGATCATTGCTGAATGCGTTTCACCCAGCGCCCTCCTCTCAGAAATATCCTGCACTGCAATGCACTTTCCACTTGGCTTCAACTGCTCGTCTATAACCTCTTGGTGCCTGAATTTCAACTTCTGTAAAATAAGGATACTTAATATCTCGATTGCAGGGATAGTGTGAGGTTTAGTTCATTAATGTCTGTAAAATACTTTTAAGTCCATTGCAAGGAAAGCCAAATGTAAAGAAAAATGACCGGGGAGAGGGGGGTGGAAAGATTTGGAAAAACAAAAACAGAAACCACAAACAAGAACCTTTCTCTACAATTTAAAATAAAATTTAATCTAAAAATGTAAATAAATAAAATAAAATTTGTGGATGACACAAAGATTGGTGGATGGTAAATAATGGTGAGGACAGAGCAGACATACAGAACAATTTGGATTACTTGGTAAGATGGGCCCATTCAAACCAAATGTTTTCAGAAAGCCAAATGCAAAGTCATACATCTAGGAACAAGGAATGCAGGCCATATCTCCCTCTCTCCCTCTCTAAAAAGAGTACATTTTCATTCATAACTGGAAATTACCAACCTGTGTGGAACCATTTTGGCCACAAGCATACTGGATTCAGCATGCAGATGCACATGGTTAGCAATAATGGTGATTGTAATAATCTGGGAAAGAAAACAGGAAAATTATATTATAGATAGTAAATTCTTGGGGGCAGGGACTGTCTTTTCATACATGTTATACAATACTTCCTTAAGAAATATACCATAAGAAAAGCAGTTTCTAGTTTGTGATAATGGAAGAGTAGGAGAAAGCTAAAGACTTGCTCACAAAATTCTATCATAACTTAACTATGGAATGTTCAAAATTCCACAGGAATAATTACAGCAGCTACCTACAGATTCTTTCTGCAAGTGGAAATATATGAGAATCTTGAAATAACCTGTAAAATGTTCTTTTCAATAAAATATATTACTACTGGCACTTCTGAGCTTCTTGCAGGTGACCGTGATTGTGATGTGGCAGTATGGGAGGCATCCTATATAAGGAGATATTAAAATCAACTTTATTATTGACTTGACAATTTTTGAACACTAAAGAGTTAAAGTTTTCTTTCTCCAGTTGTTAAATTAATAATAAAGCAGGATGGAAACCAGTTTACAATCTCTGATCCTGGATTCCGACATGGCCATTGTCACAAATGGGCCCTATTCTACAAAGTGCTGAGTGGCCTCAACTTCCACTAACATCAATCAGAGTTGGACTCTAAGTACCTTATTCCTGGGGGAAAGTACCTCTGACCCGCTGAACTTTCAGACTTCTGGCCGAGCAAAATGGTCAGAGTTTTCCTTTCAGCCTGTTCTGAACTTATTTTTACATTTAATATTTTTGATCATTAAAAAGAAGAAAAAGACTCAGGAGAGGAAAAAGAAAAAGAGAAAAAGTAAATGAAAGATGACAACAAAATCTGAATCCACAGCTGGAACCTGTCTCTAAAATAGAATGAGTCTGAACATCCCCAACATCTGGGAAAGTTCAGATTCAGATCCGGATTTAGAAACCCCAATGAGTGCTTAGATGCAAGGTTCTAATTTTGCCCACAATAAATAAAGATAAGAAGTTCCAACTCTGATCCAGAGGATAGACATGGTGTTTTGGTTTGCGCCCATCTCTTTACAGACATTAGTTACTCCTCACAGCATCCTCAGGAGGCAGGGATGCAGAGATTTAGTAATTGTTCAAAGCCACTCTGCAAATCAGTGGCAGAGCAGACAATGGGACTCGGGAGTTCCTGGTTCACAGCCCCATGCTCTAACCACCAGACCAAGTTGCCTCTCACATAGTGAGACTTTGCTGGTTTCTGTTAATTTTAGTTATCATAGTGGATATATGGAGAAGACTTACCAGGAGAAGTTCCATAGGGAATGCAACAGGACTGTGCTTGTAAGTTATCTTGATACAATTGCTGACCCTCAGCATGAGTAGGCCAACCAAAAATAGCAATATACTGGTGGCATTAGCCTTTGGGAGAGCCATGCAATAATGAAACAGGTTCTGAAAGGGAAACATCACAGAGAGGATGAGAAGGGGGTATTACAGCTTTTTATATAAGCTGGCATTTCATACTCTCTAAAAGGATGACAAAGGATGCCCTTGTATTTCAACTGGTAGGCCCTTCTGTGACAAAAGCATCTTTAATGGGAAGAGGGAGACAGCTACTAAGAACACAGCAAGATTTTAAAAATATGTTTTCTATAGAGAGCAATACAGAAAAAAACAGCACAAATATGGCTTTGTACTTCTCATTGTATTTTCTAAAGTGAGTAGACAACAATATACTTTCTCCAGCCCCTCTCTCCTCCTAGCATCCAGAAAATCTGCATACACTGTATAGTACACCCACCTAGGAAAGGTGAACGCAGCTACGGTTGAGACTTGCCTAATTTCTACCCTAGCAATGTGCTTATACTGAAATTATCTTAATTTCTGAAGCTGTTCATCCCCTTCCCCTCCAAGGGGCAGGCACCAAGTGTTTGGTTTACTCACGTAGAAAATGGCCAGGGGGCCCATATGGAAGTTGATCACGATCCCAAAGATGAAGGAGAACTGGGATACGATGACATGCAGCGCTGCTGCAGTGAGGTAAGCGTCAATGAGGGTCTTTGGGAGATAGGTTGTGACAAATCCCAAGCAGAAGCAGCTTAAAAGCAACTGAAAGGAAGGCAAGAGAGGAATGAGAAGTGGTGACACAAAGGGGACTGAGCCTGACACTAAG